CGGCTGCATGCAGCACGGACTAGGTAGTTCGGATTAGGCTTCCTATTCCGAACTACCATTACTCCTCGTGGAACTAGGTGTACCGGTAGTTCGGAATAGGAAGCCTAATCCGAACTACCTACCCTGTGCTGCGTGTAGCCGTGGGCATGGAGTCCGAACTAGCGGGGCTTTAAAAATGGCGGCACCCGGCAAGATGCAAATGAAGCCTGGGAAATTCAAATCCCTAGCTTCATTTGCAACTTCGGTTGCCTACAACCATTACTCCTCGTGGAACTAGGTGTACCGGTAGTTCGGAATAGGAAGCCTAATCCGAACTACCTACCCTGTGCTGCGTGTAGCCGTGGGCATGGAGTCCGAACTAGCGGGGCTTTAAAAATGGCGGCACCCGGCAAGATGCAAATGAAGCCTGGGAAATTCAAATCCCTAGCTTCATTTGCAACTTCGGTTGCCTACATTAACCCCCCTAGTTCAAACTAGGGTGGTAGTGTAGACATACCCTAAGGTGCTACATGATCACTCATATTTAAGGGTTTTTTTAAAGTTACAAACTAACATGGCTCCCCCTCTGATCTTTGACGTATGGGTTATTTACTTATGCTAAACACAGAGGCAGCCCGTGGATATAGGCAACCTCAGCAGTTGCCTAGAGAGCCGCGTTAAACACGCCGCCCAATGATGACATCACTCAATTGAGTACTATGGAGGCAAGAGCGCTGATCGCGCATTCCGCCTAGGGCGCCAGTTGCTGACAGCCCTCCTCGAGACACTCCTGGCTAAACAATATGTTCCACTTTATATTTAATACCAAGACACTCTGGCTACGTCTTCACTTCGAGTTTTTCCAGTAGAAAACATACTAATGAGGGACTCATTAGCATAAGTCACAACATCATTAGCATATTTTTGCCATTTCTTTTTGCGCAAGGGGTTTTTGTATAAAAAGAAGCAGTGTGGGATTTTTTTTTGCACAAAACCCCCGTTTTGCGCAAGATCCTTATGCCTTTTGGGGTTTAATTTACCTTTATTCTGACCCCATGTGATGTAGCAAAATGTCTATAAAGCTTTTATTTTCTCTCTGTGTCAGTTTGACTAATAATTATGCCTTGGTTTAATTAATCTCTTGATGAGTTGTCTGGGACTTAAAAAATCATTTTCACCTACCTGCTTCAGCCTTCTGCTGTTTTTCAATCTTCTCCAGCCTCCCTAGCAAAGAGTCAATTTTTGTTTTGATTTGGGTTAATTCCTTCTTGATTGTTTGCAACTCATCTGATTTCACTGAGGAAGGAGAACAAAAAAAAGCACAAAACATGAGAGAAACAACAATTTCACTCCAAAGATTCATCTGAACATATTCTGTCCCTTTCAAGGTATACTTTCTAATATCACTACATTCTAATTTATTTCAGTTCTTTTGCTGAATGAGTGTGAAATTTTTGTCCATTTCAGATGAGCAATCCCAGTAGAATTCCAGTAAATATTGAGTGATAGCAGGTCATGTGAGGGATATAGCTCAGTAATAAATGTTTGCAACAAAACATTTAAGGCCATAACAGATTCAGTCTTAGCAAATGTAAGTAATGTCTGGTGACAAAAAACCTATGATGTGAAGTGAATTAAAATTCAGGGAATGATTCAAACAAGACAGGCAATTTACAGTTTAGTAATGGTATTTTGCAGTGCAATTTTTAAATAATAATAATAATAATAATAATAATAATAATAATACTAATACATTAGGGGGCTGCACCCCCTGCTTGCTATGCTCATCATCCCTCCTCTCTCTGGGGGTAGGCAGCCCTGGCTCTCCCCCCACTGGCTGCCAGGACAAAGCAGAGGCAATGCCAGCTTGGGCTTCCCTGCCCCCAGCACCTGGGAAGAGCCGGGCCAAAGCCGTGACCGCTCTGGCTCTCTCCCTCTCTCAGCCACTGGAGAGGGCTGGGCTGAGGCTGCATCAACCATGGCTCCTTCCCCAGCCACCAGGGAGAGCTGGGCCAAAGCCATGGCAGTTCCAGCTTTCCCTTCGGCTGCTGGGGAGGGCGAAACCAAGGCGATGGCATGGAAGTCCGAGTTCTCCCCCCAGCTGCCGGGGAGGGCTGAGCTGAGGCCGTGCAAGATGCAGCTCATCCCCGGCTGCTGGGGAGGGCCGGGCTGAGGCATCTCTGGCTCTCCTCCCAGGCACCGGGGAGAGTGGGATCAAAACCATGGCATGGAGGCCTTGGCTCTCTCCCAGCCACCTGGGAAGGCCCAGCCGAGGCTGCCCCCACCCCCAACAGCTGCTGGGGAGGGGAGGAGAAGGCTGGGCCAGGGCCGGAGCTCTGGCTCTCCACCTGGTCCCTAGGGAGGGCCAGGCTTGGGTTGGAGGGAGCGGGGGGCTTAGCTCCTGTGGATGCAGATGATGTGATAGAATCATTCTGTCATCCCGCAGGAAGTTTTGTTTGATATAAATAGAGATAAAAGAATCCTTCCACAGCAATAGGTATTTTTTTCACGGGACCAAATAGTGACAAATGCTGGAGCAGCCAGGAAAACAGGTGTTCCCAGCCAATGCCTTCATTGCTGAAAAAATTCTTGAGTAATAGTGCTTTTTAAAGCTTTCAATCCACAGTAATTTCTTGTACTTTTTTCAGCTGCAGATAAAATACAAACATATTTTTGTGATCATGTCTAAGAACAGACAAGCTAGTTCCAATAAATGATCGTCTCAAGGGAAGTTAAAAAATGTTTTCCGTACTTTATTCTTCATTTATATACACATTTGCACTTCCTGCTTCCAGCTGGGCTTGGAAGAAGTACTGAGCTAATAGGGAGGACTGTTCATGGAGGTATTCTGGCTTCATCAGAAACAGGAACAATTGAGACCTTGTAAACATAATTCTCATGGAATTTCCAGCCTAATTTTGTAGACTCAGGGGAAGATCCAACTATGAGTTCCATTGTCCCTCTCCTAGGAAGAAATCATATGGTGTCTCTAAAGAGAACTCATTCTTCCATGAAGGCTCTGGATCTCTGATGACCTCTCTCTACCTTTGCCACATAGCTCCAAAGGAGTCATATTGTTCAGGCTTTTGAAGGCAAAAGAAGGTTCTTAGCCCAAGAGTGAGAGGGTGGTGGTGCAAGGTAGTTATAGTCATAATATTGTTAAAATTGGACTAGATTACCCTTTCAGCCCTTGCTCCATGGGACTCGAGGGAGAATGATGTACATTTGTCTGACCCCGCCCCTTTTCCACACAAAATCTGGAACACTGAAGAGCTCATTAAGGGTCTGGGGAAGGGGGGAACACCATCATGGAGGAGGAGCTTTCCTGTGCAAACTTCCTCTCCGTGACTGGCTCCTGGAAGAACAATCAGGCCATATTACTACTGGGTACCTATCTGACCTAAACCTCTTAGCCTTCTGAGCTTTGTTCAGCAATTAATTAAATCCATAATAAGGACAAAACACAGCATATTACTATTATAGTAGAGGCTTCAGCAGATGTGACTTTGTTTTAATCTATGGGTTTTCAGGCCATGTTATTCAGTCAGCTGAAAATGTTGCAATTACCTGAATTGTGGTCTTTCCCATTACTCTTCCCATTTTTTGCAGAGCTTAAAACATTTTCTGAGAAGAATGGGGCTTGCATTTGCCATTGCCCAATGCCCAGATATTGTAACAAAATGTTATGGCTCTGAAAATAGAGGAAAGCAGAAGTCCAGCGTCCTGTTAGCTTATACTACCAGAAAGCCCAATCCCTGAAAGAGTCTAATTTGTGGTTCTACTTCTAGTGTGGCTGAAATGCTCAAGAACAGTTTCTCCTGGGAGATTTCTGCCCAAGATGGTAAAAGTCTGTTAGGGCATCTGATTTAATGAGATTTCTGAAATTATGTGATGAAGCCCCACAAGAACAATTGATATGATTTTGACGTAATTGGTTCCTCACCTTAGGCCTGACTTGTCTTAGAATTCGAAAAAAAAAGCAAAAAAAAAAAAAAAAAAAGATGACACTCACTAGCAGAGAGATCTGCCACTGAAATAGTAATAAAATAAATATATAATAACATTGGAAATAATAAATGAATTCTAGTGCATGGATTAAATTACCAGAACTAGTGGGAATAAAGCAATGAACTGCTTTATCCTAAATGTCAATCTGATAAAAATTTTCTGTAAAGGGAAAAAATAAGCAACTTATTCTGTGCTTTCAAATTTGTAACCCCTGAGGGAACTGCTTGGATATTTTTCTGATAAACACCTTAAAATAAGCTGATTACATTCCTGTCCAAGTCAACAAAATTATATCTCCACTTTTATGATGTACTGGTTGGACCTGGAAAAGGGGGAAGAAATTCTAAGGGGAAATCAAGCATGAAAGTCTATATAATATACACCTGTCTCCTTTATTTCCCCTGTTTATTTTCATGTGTACTGCATAAAAAAGAATATTTTCTGTTATTTATTCAAGCATGTGAAATGAATTTTGCAACTGTAATCTATATCTAACTGTGAGAAAGTGAAAATCTAATATAGGAATTACAAAAATGCAGCACAATATTTTTATAAAGGCAGACTATTGCTTCTTTTAAGGGCTCAATCTAAAGCTCGTTGAAATCAATGGGGGCCCTTTCATAGATTTTTGTGGGATTTGCTCATGCCCTAACACATACGTGTAGGTCTCCAAAGGCCACTTAAATCAAGATGGAGCACGGCATGGGCCTCAGACTCATAGCAAGTTGCTAAAGTAGCCCATAACTGGATGAAGTTTAGGTGCCCTGATCTATATTGGGAGCTATTAATATCTTGATTTTTGCCACAATGCACTATTTCCTGGAACGTAATTTATTGGAATGGGGAATACAGCAATGCTGTGGTGACTAAATACTATGATCAGTAGATGTCAAGGTCATAATGGTTCACATTGTACCATATGTACTACAACAAAAATCCATGTTCATATGTGAGAAAGGTCATCAGCAATCTATTCGGAATTGCTAATCTTCCCATTTCTGCAGAATGAGTTTCAGTGAAATCACAAGATTGTGTTTTGGGATATTCCTAGTCTGCCTACAATGGCTAAAAAATCAACATGTAGAAAAAAATTGGCTAAAATAATTTATACTCTCGAGGAAAAGCAAACCCAAGAAGCCAATTCATATTAGACAAGCAGTGCAGGCAAGTAAGGAATTGCATGCTCCTATGCTAACTTCGCATAATATACACTTACAGCAATGAAAAACGAAATGAACTCACTAAAGGAGATCTCCTCTATCTGCACTTTGATTCATTACAGAAAAACCCATAGATTCAAAGGCTGGAAAAGACTACAAAACACACAAACAAAACCCAATCACATTGAATTGGGAGTTTCCCTGCTCAGTCTTCATAAATACATAGATTCTCAACAATACTAAGGTGAAAAAGAACATTGTGAGGCATGTGTTGGTTTAACAAAATGGTTCTAAGAATTTGGTACATTGATGAGAGGAATGAGCAAAAAAAAAATAGAATCATCAGGGAGAGGGGGAATATTTAAAAAAAGAATATTCAAATGATTAAGACATTCAGCCCTGTTTGTGTCCCTACTAAAGGGAACAAAGACAAAAAGATATACCTCTAGAGGTACATTCAGAAAACACTTCATACCTGTGATAGAATCATAGAAATGTAGGGAGAGAAGAGACACCCCCAAAAGTCATTAAATCCATCCCTCATGCAGAGGCAGGACCAACTAAATCTAAACTATCCCCAACATGTGTTTGCCCAACATGTTTTTAAAAACCTCAAATGATGAGGATTTTAAAAGTTGTTCCTAATATCTAACCTAATCTCCCTTGCTGAAACTTAAGCTCATTAATTTTCGTTTTATATTCAGTGGACATAGAGAACAATTGTTCACCATCCTCTTCATAATAGTCCTTAGCTTATTTGAAGACTTATCAGTTCCCTCCCACAGCTTCTTTTCTCAAAATTAAACAGTCACAGTTTTTTAAATGTCCTCATAGATCAGGTTTTCTTAACCCTTTTGCTAAATCCAAAACAAAACTTAGTACATCAGCAAAGATCATACCACTGTCAAGTAAGAGTGGGACAATTTCCTTCCATGTCCTACATGCAACATTCCTGTTAATAGACCCAAGAATGATATTAACCTTTTTAGTATCACTTGTTGACTCATATTCAATTTGCGTTCTATGGTAACCCCTTTTCAGTACTATCACCTGGCCATTTATTCCCCATTTTGTAGTTGTGCATGTCATTTATTTCCTTCCTAAATAAAAAAATTTGCATTTGTCATTAATTAATTTCATTTTGTTTAATTCAGACCAATTCTCCAATTGTGCTTGCAACCCCTCTCAGTTTGGTGTCACCTGGAAATTTTATAATCATCCTCTCCACTCCATTATCCAAGTCACATCAATGAAACTCAAGAACATAAGAATGGCCATACTGGGTCAGATCAAAGGTCCATCTAGCCCAGTATCCTGTCTTCTGACAGTGGCTAATGCCAGACGCCCCAGAGGGAGTGAACAGAACAGGTAATCATCAAGTGATCCCTCTCCTGTCATCCATTTCCAGCCCCTGACAAACAGAGGCTAGGTACACCATTCCTACTCACAATGAGGAGAACGGTAGTTCGAGTTAGGAGCTTTAATTCGAACTACCTAGTCCGTGCCACGTGTAGCTGTGGGCAGGTAGATCGAACTACGGGGCATTTAAAAATGGCGATGCCCGGGAACATTCAAATAAAGCCCGGGATATTTAAATCCTGGGCTTCATTTGCAAGTTCGAATGCCTACATTAGCCACCCTAGTTCGAACTAGGATGGCAGTGTAGACATACAGAAGAGGGTGTGTGTGGACATTCCATTACTGCTATGTCAAAATAGATCCTCACCAGGGCCATTCTAAAGTTATTCCTCCCCAGTGCCTCCTGGGGCTCTAAATCGATGAAACGCATCCCCATTAAGGGAACCTCCCTCAGACTAATTTGGAGGCTTCCCGGTAGCGTGGACAATCTATTGTGAAATAAGCTATTCTGGAAGATAGCTTCTGGAATAGCTTTTTCTGAAATAAGCTTGCAGTGTAGATGTACCATTAGTATCATTAGTTATTAGCTTTCCTTCCCCGCTAAGTGGAGGACCTACACTTTCCTTCATCTTTCTCTTGCTTCTGATGCATTTAAAGAATCTTTTCTTACTGTCTTTTACTCCCCTTGATAAGTGTACCTCATTGTGTGCCTTAGCGTTTCTGGTTTTGTCCCTACATGCTTTATGCTATTCTTCTATAAATAAATGAATGGAGGGGCCTATCTCCTAGAACTGGAAGGGACCTTGAAAGGTCATTGAATCCAGTCCCCTGCCTTCACAGCAAGACCAAGTACCATCCCTGACAGATTTTGCCCCAGATCCCTAAATGGCCTTCTCAAGGATTGAACTCACCACCCTGGGTTTAGCAGGGCAATGCTCAAACCACTGAGCTATCCCTCTTTTCACCTTAGTAATTTATTCCACTTTAGTAATTTGTCCATATTTTCACTTTCTGTAGAATTCTTTTTTGATTTTTCAGGTCATTAAAGAACTCCTGGTGGACCTATATTGTTTTTTTCTTCTTCTTCTTATCTTTCCTTCATATCTGAATAATTTGCCGTTGTGACTTTAATATTGTCCTTCAGATACTGCCAATATTCCTCCACTCCTTTTCCCCCTAGATGTTCTTCCATAGGATCTTACTTATCAATTTTCTGAGTTTGTTAAAGTCTATGTCTACACTACAAAGAAAAGTCAGAAGAAGATACACAAATTGCGAACCACAATTTGTGTATCTTTTTCTGCTTTTCTTCCGAAATAAGCTTTTCCAACATTCGGCCCTGTCTATATGGGGCCAAATGTTAGGAAAAAAACCACTCTTTTGGAACATTTCTTCTTCCTCGTAGAATGAGGTTTACAGAGATGCCAAAAAAATATGTCTGCTTTTTTTTCGAATATCCAAGGCCCGCAGCTGTAGTTTACCCCCTCACTTGAGAATAATGAATTCTTCCATTTCATGATCCTTATCTGAATGACCTTAGTCCAATTTTCCAAGCCAAATAATAAAGGGACTAAAGCAGGGGGTGCAGTATAAAATGGAAGCAACCTTAACCAGATAACATTTATAAAGAATTTCTTCTTATCAAAGCCAGTATACAGTTTCCAGGATAAGGTAATTGATATAAGCCACTTACATTTGGATCCTGAAGAGGAAGCCCCACTAGATGTAGATCGTGATCCCCCTTTCATGGAAAAAACTCCTTTCCCTCGACGAGTTGCTGTCATGGTCACACGAGGGCGCTTCAAGGGTATCACTGCACGAGGTGGTGGTGGGACACGACCATGGTAATCAAACAATCTGAGAAAATTGAAAACAGGGTTTTAGAAATGCAGAGATGTGTTTTCCTATCAGCTAAACTTTCATGTTATTTTAGAGGAAATTTCTTTTTGAAATCAATCAATTCCTATCACATTGAAATTGGATTTCAAGGACCTCTGCACATTAAACACCATATCTGGATTTCAGTCACATCCCAGTGTGCATAGCTCAGATTTTGTGCAATTTAAGTAAGGAATGCTTTATGGAGCTCTGCTATTTGCAGCATGGAAAATCTATCTAGTGCTCTCTGCAGATCCACTGCATTTCATTGATCCACATTTTGTTGTGATGTTAGACATTTTGGCTCCTTTATTACATGAATGGTTTGGATTTTAGCTTTCCAACTTTAGACTGCACATACGCTATAAGGGATGAACAGTCCTGAGACCAAACATTGCCTTAAATAAATATAGTGCAATAGTGTCACACTGCCAAAGGATGGATTTCATCACCCATATAATTGCATAAGAGACATTTCAGAGAGAGATGTGCATCCTTTAGAAGAAGGCATTAAAAGAATGGAACCTATCCAACACAGAGTGACATGTATTTTTTTTAATAAAAATTGGAACACTTTTGAAGCAACAAAACTCCGGAAACAATTTTAATGGATGCTTCTGGTAGGTGCCCTCTGCATTATGGTAACTATGAATTCAAAAAAATTCCATTCAAGTAAATGAAAATACTCCCTAAATCCCCACAATGGATATTCTCCAACTAAATTCCTCGAATCCTAAACATAGTTTACTAATTTGTGCACAACTCAAGAGACAAGGGAAGAGAGAGAAAAAAAGTGACAGAAAGCTATGAAAACACATTTGGAACATAAAAGCTGTGGGGATAAAAGATGGAGAATCTGGGCGGGGGGGTTTCACTACTTTATTGATATTAATTCCCCCCGTTTTGCAAGTCCCTTTGTATTTACATGGTGATCAGTTTCTGAGGCCATCTAGACTGCCGCTTTTTGCTGGAAAAAGGTATGCAAATTGCACTCTGCAATTTGCGTACCTTTTCCCGATTGTTTTTTCAAAAGAGGCATTATTGAAATTTGGTCCATCTACACTGGGCCAAATTTCGGAAAAACTTCCTCTTTCAGAAGAACAGGGAAGATGGGGCTTCTGAATGAGTGCTTCTGCTTTTCTGCAAAAAATGTTGGAAGAGCAGACACGTTCCGTGGATGTGACGGAGTTTTCCAGGATACCTCTGGTATCTCGGAAAAACTCCATAGTCTAGACATAGCCTGAGAGTTGGAAGGGGCAGCAAGGGGTGGTGGTGAGTGGACATCTCTGCTTCTGGACCCAAGGAAGATTTGATGTTTCCCTAGTGTGGTAATGCCCCAGGGTAGGGTTTTGGGGCTAGCTGCTGATGCTAGGTGAGCCAGGCTGCCAATGGCACAGAGGGAGATGAAAGTAGTCGTCAGGAGCTGGAATGGAGACATAATTTACAAACTGTCCTGGCTTATGGTGGATCTCAGCATATACCATAAAACTCCAATAGTCTGGCTTCCAATAGTCCGGCACTCCTGATAGTCTGGCATCAAAATGGCAAGAGCCTAGTGAGTGAGCTTCGGCAAAAAATGAGTCACAAGGTAACAGCAGCCGCAGCTGAACTGAGCAAAAAGGGTAAAAAAGGCTTTAAAAAACTAAAACATTACAGTACTGTATACTGTATACAGTATGTACAATAAAAAGGGTTAAGAACACTTTATATACAGTATATAATGTATACAGTATATATATAACCAGTTTATAGTACCTCCTGATAGTCCGGCATATCTGATAATCTGGCACCACCTAGGTCCCATAGGTTCCAGATTATTGGAAGTCTACTGTATATGGTATCTTTGTGCTCAACTGGCCTTTCTGTTCCTCGGGCAGGGACTCATCAAACTTGATAGGAGATTGAGGAGGAAACTCTGCTAAAGAAAACTCAGTTTCCAGTCCTCTGTGCAGAAGCAGCAGGAAGGTCAATTTCTCTCTCTGCGTGGTTCTATGTAGCCCCTTTTAACTGGAGTGATACCTAATAAAGATGCTTACATATTGTTTTATTTTCCGACCAACCCTGACACAACTGCTGTGACTCAGGAAGTTAAATATGTGGAAACAGAGGCACAGAAGTAGTAAAGACTTGCTCAGAGCATCAAACATCAAATCAGACCCAGACCCAGACTTAGAACTCAGGATTCCTAATCTATGTTCTGCCTGAAACATGCCTAATCCACTAGATCAGAGTGCCTGTACTTGTCTGTGCCTTAATTCCACAGCCATTTAATCCTGATGTAGATTAACTAATAATATTCTCTTCTTACAGCTCTGAGCCACATGCCTTACAGTGGCTCCATGAATTCCCTACATAGCTAACTAACTGTATGCACTGAGTCCACAACTGAGTCGCTACTATATATATATATATATAACATGCTTCTAAGTGGAGCTTTATAGGGCACTTATTCCTTCATTTGCTTTTTTCCCTAAAATTTTAAGGCCCCATTCTGTCCCTGCGATGTCCCTTGTCCCTGCTGGTGTAGCATAGCATAGCAGAGCAGTCCCACACTTCTCGCCTCTGCTACCCTACTGCAGGTGTGCGCTGGAGGCAGGCTTATAAATGGGAGGGAACTAAGAGGTGTGAAAAAGGACCGTGCTCTGGCTGTTGTAGGCCCCACTGTGTCCAACAGGCAGCTATGCTGGGAGTAGCACTTGGTGCTGCTCTGACTCAAAGCAAGGGATGGGAAGATCCCAGACCAAGAAAGGAATTCAGAGGAAGCATAAAGTTGACATTAAGTCCTCCCCACTCACTGTTGCTTTGTTCCTCTTACAGGGTACTGTAAAAAAATGGCCCGTCTCTGTTCTGCATACCCTGTCTGAATCTATGTTGCTGCAGTTGCTGCAAAATGGTGTCTGCAAATGATTACATGATGGCAGATCTCATCAGCTTTCTAGGGGGAGGCCTGAAAGAACACATTTCTTAGGAGACATTTCACATCAGGACAATTTCTCAAACTCTCATACTTAAAGAACTTCCACATCTGCAATAGATCCCAGTGAAATCATACTGGGGAAGAACTCGGCAGTGATAAGAAACCACAGACTTTTCTTTTTTACACAATTTAGTTTTTCAGTAAAGGAAAAGCTCAAAAAGGGCTTTCAGAGATTCAGAATACCAACAGAACTGCTTAACATGCAGAAATGGGAGGACACGGGAGTTAGGGGATGTATCTTCAAGTTTTGCTGTATGTTGAATCTATCATTATTCCATATTGAGGAAAAAACTCTCTAGGAATAATTAAATATGAATATTGTGTAAAATTAAAACCCAAACCCTCTCTAAGTATTTGATGTGACATCATTACCAATAAATAGTGGAAACTGTGTAGGACGTGTAGTAAAGTACACATACCGGTTGTAGAAGTCATCTCTGTAGTAATCATAATCAAAGACATAACCTCTGTGGAAAGAATACAAAAAGTAATAATGAACTGGCATATAGGAAAATTACATTCATTAAAATATTTGTGGTATTATTGTAATGCTAATTTATTTTCATAGTTGAAGCATTTGAAGACTTTTTACTTCCTAATGAATATAGCAGAGGCCCGAAAAGGATATAGCAAGGTTATTTTTAAATCTGAAATTATGTTATTTTGCATACTACCATGGTGTGGTAGATTCAGGAATCTGAATTTTTATTAACAGTTCTTGCACACACAGCTATGAAAGAACCTGGCAGCACATACGGAAATAAATTAATACAGCATAACCACTCTGTTATTAGATGACTATTAGTATAATTCTCAGGGATCAAGTGAAGCAAGGAGTCCAAATCAGTGGCCTTCCTCTTTCTGTGTTCATAGGTTATCTAGTATCCTGGGAAGACCAAAAAACAAGTGGCAGAGTCAAAAAGGCCTGTAACTAAGAATAACAAGCAGAGCATGAAAATATTTGATCCATGAGAACATGAGGTGGTAGAACTGTTATTTACTGAGCCTTTTTGCTGAAAAACTCTAAACTTGTATAAAAAGAAAAAGAAGCAACTCTAGGAAAACAGATGGGCTGCGTCTAGACTGGCATGATTTTGCGGAAATACTTTTAATGGAAAAGTTTTTCCGTTAAAAGTATTTCCGCAAAAGCACGTCTAGATTTGCACGGATGCTTTTGCGCAAAAAGTGCTTTTGCACAAAAGCATCCGTGGCCACTCTAGACGCGATTTTGCGCAAGAAAGCCCCGATCGCCATTTTAGCCATCGGGGCTTTTTTGCGCCAAACAGTTCTTCCCTGTCTACACTGGCCCTCTTGAGCAAGTATTCTTGTGCAAGAGGGCTTTTTCCAGAGCGGAAGCGTGAAAGTATTTGCTCAAGAAGCACTGATTTTGTACATTACAAAGTCAGTGCTCTTGCGCAAATTCAAGCGGCCAGTGTAGACAGCTGGCAAGTTTTTGCACAAAAGCTTTTGCGCAAAATCTTGCCAGTCTAGACGCACCCATGATGTATATCTTACAAAACACTGACTTCTCCCGGAGGAGTGTTTCAATGCTGATCCTAGGGCTGCCAGGTGTTCGGTTTTGAACTGGACAGTCCAGTATTTGAGCTTTCCGTTTGGGAAACAAATTGAGAAAATATAAATGTCTGGTATTTTCTAAATAAGATGTAATGTAGATTGTGATGTAATGTCAAGTATGTCCAGTATTTTTGTTGAAACCATCTGGCAACCCTAGCTGTTCCTTTAGGTTTTGAAAGGGAAATGCAGGCCACTTTGAGAGAGAGGAGAAGAAACTGTCTGGAGGCAAACTGAGTAAGGAGATATCAAGGGAACAAAATGCAGGAGGGAACTGGAAAGGCCTAGAGAATAACCATGTTTGATATGGGAAATGCAAAGTCAATTTAGTATGTTTATTCTTGTATGTCCCAGTCTCAATCATCACCTCTTGCCACTGTAGCAAGTGCCAGTAAATAAGTCTATCACAAGCAGCCAGAAAAAGAGGACAAGGGAGCCAATTAAAGGTCTGCACATTTTAAAATGAGCTGTTGGGGATTTTCACTCTCGCAGCTATGGCAAATATTTCATCAAGGTCAGGGAAGAGAAAACATACATTGCTTCAGCCACCTGAGACGATAAACTGTTGTAAGAGGAGGTGGAACCTGGTTATTGAAATGATCCAGGAGAGAAAGAATAAAGGAGAAGATGATACAGCAATTATCAAAGGAAAAATTAAAGGATTTAGTCAAGAAACTAAAAAAGTAAAAGGATTGTGGGTGGGATTTAGAAAGGATGAAGAAATAGAAGAAAGTGTACAAAGGAAAATAGAGTGGAAATGAACAATAGTAAGTGTCTTATCAGGGATGGTTATTCCCCATGATAGAGGAATGTATTTTGGACAACCATTGTTTGCAGAGCTGGTCAGGAATATAAAACCCAACAGATTTTTTTCTTCACATTTTATTTTAATTTTTTTGAATATAACCTGTTTCTCTATTTTCATTTTTCTAAAATGTGTATGTGCAATTTAACTGAAAATGTTTGGCTTTCCCTTCCTAGGCCCTGCTTCTTTCTTCCTCTAAAAAATTTTGTAAGGCCTAGAGCTGGGAAGCTGAAAGGAAAACAAACAAACAAACAAACCCTTAAAAAATTCTGTAAGGCCTAGAGCTAGGAAGCTGAAAGGAAAACAAACAAACAAACCCCTCTCTTGGAGAAAAAAAGACGGAAAAGCTGGCTTAGACATGTATAATTTAGTTTGATTGTAATGCTACCCTTATGCAGTTCTTTACCAATGTTTTGTTGCATTGTTTAGTGGGTTGTTTGTGTGCTTGTTTATGGAAATATATTAAATGATGAATGTAACTGTATTTGCGAAATGGGGAAGAAATTACAAAAGATATACTCTGGAGAAGGAGTGTAACCCTGAACTAACAGGACATGGACTGAAGTTGAGTAGTGATTCCCAAACAGCTCAAAAGATACAGGTGTACTGCCTTGGAAGAGGTCTTGTCTGCTTATAAGTTCTGTTTTGCTATGAGTTTCCCACTTAGGAATTCTGGACCCTGTATGAAACTGACTTTGTGCAAACAGCCATGCAGATATTGGGGATTTCATTGAAACAGAACTTGGAAGTAACAGGTCTGACAGAGCTTACTTACTACAGATCAAGACCAGGAATCCACAGATTGGAGTGGAACCAGATGTCATGAGACTGAAGCAGACGGGCTAAAGAGAAACCACCGCCTGGTATCTATTTGACAGCTCCTGAGTCTAATCATGAGTGAAGGTTACTGAGGGCGTGTCTATGCTGCACTCAGGGCTCGAAATAAACTATTCAGTTCTTCAAGTCAATTTTGAAACAGCTTATTTTGTAATTTGGCACTATATACACAGTGCCAAATTTCAAATAACCTGCTATTCTGAAATGTTCCCTTACTCCTCATGGAATGAGGTTTACAGGGACGTCAGAATAGTGAACCTGTTATATTTCGAAATAACAGGTGTGCTGTTCAGACGTTGGATAGCTATTTCGGGATGGACGTAGCCTGAGTGAACAAAGAATTCTGAGTCCCAACATATTGGTTAATAAATAAGAGAACTGAGAATTGCCCATGCTTCTCAATCACTGCTTAGGCTTTATAATTTTGTTTTATTATATAAATAGATGTTTATAGTGTTTTCCCCAAATAAAAAAGTACTTGTGGTTTCATATTTCTAAAAACTCCTTCTGAGTGCTTGTGATTGTGGAAGAAGCACCTATAAAGGAGATGGGTGCATGTGTTTGTGCATAACATTTTATATTTCTAAAGCCTGGGAGTGGATACATTTTTGAGGGGGAATTGATCTAAACATTTTAGATTTTTACATACCTGTACCTGGTCCTTGTTGCTGCTAATGACATGTGTGCTCCTATCAGCCTCCTGCAATGTGGATACTGCCGTGGCTTGGCTTCAGGTAAACCGAATCCAGCTACATGTTTTGTGTAGCTGGATGGTGTACCTTAAGCCGAACTGCCTGATCAAGTATAGACCACGGCTCTGTAAGGCTTCTGTGGGCCAGGGAAGAGAAGCAGTGTATGGTGAAGATAGTGGCTCCATGAATAGGACTTGTGCACTGGCCCAGAGCCCCATGAAAAAGAGTGCTTAGCAAGCCACAGCATAATTATCATAATTGACCATAATCTAATTGTAAAAACCACCCACACCCATAGTATGGGCTGAGAGAGAATTCCTTCTCTTTAGTCCATTGATGGCCTCTGTGCAATTTTGTTCAGGCTTTGTACAGAGACCCAGGGTCCACATTTTGCCCATTTTAGACAAAACAGCGGGTGCTGGTTTGCTACTGGTTTTTGCCAACCAGATGCCATCGTTATTTACAATACAGCTAATGCATAGAATTATAGTATGTTTCTGAAGTACTTTGCTGTGGGCAGGGATCACATTGTTTAAGCTCTTCTGTGCAAGTAAAGCAATATGCTCAGCTAAGGCCATGCACTAGTGTTTCTAAACATAACCCCCATCTTTTATTTTGTCTTACAGTCTGTAGCCATTTTATAAGATATGGGGCACGTGGAAATCAGAGATTGCAAAGTTCTTTTATTTACAACCATTCCCTAGCATAACATTTTGATTTGGCTACATGATGAACAGCCAAGATAAGTCTGGAATTTAATTGTATTGTGGTTTTAAGTGGAAGACAGAAGATAATTTAATGAGAGAGAGAGAAAAAGGTAAAAAAGGCATTTCCAAACCCTCACGAAAACTTACCACTTGGGATGAAATATACTTTACCTTTATAAAAACTAGATAGCTGAGTTTTGCCTGGATGAACTGCAGTGGAGCTGATGAGGCAAAATCCACTCCTACAAACCAAGACTAAGGCAAAGATGTGCAGCTCTGCTCCCGAGGCAGTTTCTGCTTTAGACTAAGGGAACATTTTTTGAGAGAAGCTTTCCCTGAAGATGTAGTGGTCTATGTATGGTAGTAGAAGTAGGTTATTAAATTGGGCCTCTGGTGCATATTTTATGCTCTCACTTAACAGCCATGCCTTTCTTTATATAACGGTTTTTAGCATACTATGTTTTGGTGTGTTCACTGGCTTGAGTTTCTAGAAATACAGCCGGTCCCCAAGTTGCGAATGGTCGAGTTATGACCGTTCGCATTTATGACCAAAGCTTCCATGGAGAGGTCATATAGGCGATCCCCGAGTTACAAACGTGACCTGTGCTTACAAACAGCGCAGTCACTATGTAACTCAATGGGGTCCGAGTTATGAACAGATCGAGTTATGGCCAAGTATTCGGTCTGTAACTCGTTCGTAACTCGGGGAGAGGCTGTACATGTACTTCAAAGGCAGTGTTAATTTTATTTTTATTTGAGTTCATATTAAATAACTTAAGCAGTGACCTTATTAATTATGATGTACTTTAATATTCTTTCATATCTATTAACTTTTAAAAAGATATAGGTTTTGT